CTTAGGTGTATGTGGCTGGCGCCTTAGCCACTTGAGCCACAGGCGCGGAGCCCTCTCCTATATTCTTAATGTGGAATGTTAAACATACCTTCGTCCCAAAACAAACACTTCCTATAACCAATCAAATTGTTGTATTTATGCAATAATCCTGTATGGAAAAATGAAGTAATCCTGTTAATCTTAACCAGACCTTCCCTATTATTATATAGATACATGACCCTCAAACCTCTCCACCTTGGAGCATCATGGAATCTATGTCCTCCTGGATGACCATTTGTACAAACTTGGCAAACTCAGTATTTAATCATATTGCCTGAATGTCATCATCAGGGTTGACAGTTCAATATCAATATCAATATCTTTTCTCAGACGCCTTCTCTTACCACCCTTATGAAGCCCTAGCCCTATATCCTGCTTTATTTTTCTCCAAAGCATTCCCCATCGCCCGATTTACATTTTTAAATATTTTTCTTTGAGCTTTCCTCAATAGAAGATAAACACTATGAGGCAGGGCTTTGTCTATCTCATTAACCACTCTATTTCTCAACGCCCCAGATGCTGTATCTCAGTAGGGGCTCCGTAAGTATTTAAAGAATTAAACAGCCTCCTAAGCAACCACGTGGACATCCCCTTAGAGCCATAAGCCGCGCCATTTTTTTGCCAGGATTGGTTGGATTCTCTGTAATGTGATTGGTAGTTGCCGGCCCGCCCTCGAGGCTCGTGAGGTCTACTCCTCCGGCGGAGGAGCTACTGCGCAGGAGCCGGGCCCGGCGCAGGCGCAAAACTACCCAGGCGGTCTGCTGACGACGGTTGGCGGCGCGCGGCGCCGGCGAGCTGTTGGCGTGAGCAGAACCGGGAGGAGGCAGCAGGAGCCGGTGCCATGGTGGAGAAGGAGGAAGCTGGCGGCGGCATCAGCGAGGAGGAGGCGGCGCAGTATGACCGGCAGATCCGCCTGTGGGGATTGGAGGCCCAGAAACGGTCAGGGCCGGTGCGGCTTTGAGGCCAAGGGTGTGGAGGCGGCGTCTTGTCTGAGGCGTTCCCGCCCCTGAGAGAATAGGAAGGTCTGATTTGAAGAGAGGCGGGAATTAATGTGGTCGGGGATGGTATCCCTCTTTAAAGGTCTAGAATGGCTGATTGTGTATATTTCTAGAAGATACGGGATGTGGGGACGTTCCAGTATGGTGGGAGGGCTGTTCCGATGGATTGGAGACCTCTAAATCGAGTCCTGCGGCAGCGGGAGGATTCAAACTCAGGGAATTGGACGCCCGGTATAGGTGTTGGTGGGAGTTAACAGGATAAGGAGCCGGAGATAACGTGGAAAGGGTGAAGGAGGGGCGTAGTTCGTTCATTCATAGGTAAAGGGAACCTGCCCGGCGCAGGAAGCTGTGAGAGGGGAGCCTGGCCGACCCAACACGAGCTTGCTTTCTTGTGGCTTCTGAGCGGCTGGGCTGACTGATTTGAAAGAATGCGGATTTTGAGAAGTTTGGGAGCAAGCTATCTGAGAATCTTCAGAGGCTCAGAGTCTGAGATGGGAATGGAAGTATCAGAAAAGGTTGCGTGGCTCGGCCCCTGTGGTTCAAGCGGCTAAGGCGCCAGCCACATACACCTGAGCTGGAGGGTTCGAATCTAGCCCGGGCCCGCCAAACAACAATGACGGCTGCAACCAAAAAATAGCCAGGCGTTGTGGCAGGCGCCTGTGGTCCCAGCTACTTGGGAGGTGGAGGCAGGAGAATCGCTTGAGCCCAGGAGTTTGAAGTTGCTGTGAGCTGTGATGCCACGGCAGTCTAGCCAGGGGGAGAGTTTGAGGCTCTGTCTCCCAAAAAGAAAGAAAGAAAGAAAGAAAGAAAGAAAGAAAGAAAGAAAAAGTTGCTCGGCCGGGCAGGGTGGCTCTATTATGCCTGTAATCCTAGCACTCTGGGAGGCCCAGGTGGGTGGATAGCTTGAGCTCGTGGGTTCGAGATTAGTCTGAGCAAAAATTGAGACACTCCCCCCCCCCAGTCTCTACTAAAAATAGATAAACTCTAGCCCTGTTCTACTCTGGAGGCTGAGGCAAGAGAATCGCCTATTCCCAGGAGTTGGAGGTTGCTGTGAACTGTGACGTCACAGCACTCTACCAAGGGCAATTAAGTGAGACTCTGTCTTTACCAAAAAAAAAAAAATAGATAAACTGAAGCAAGAGGATCGTTTGAGCCCAAGAGTTGGAGGTTGCTGTGAGATATGATTCCAGGTCACTCTACCTAAGGCAGAACTGTGGGGATTAAACTATAATGTGAGGGAACTGTGAGAGGGGTAGGAATGATTTATCTGAGGAGCAATAAAGAATGGATGGGAGCACCTGAGTGGGAGTTGACTGAAGGGATGCACATCAAGGTCAGGATATGGAATTCTTTGGAGGCAAGAGTTATTCTTTTTTTTTTTTTTTTTTTTTTGAGACAGAGCCTCAAGCTGTCTGTTGCATCACAGCTCACAGCAACCTCCAACTCCTGGGCTCAAGTGAGTCTCCTGCCTCTGCCTCCCAAGTAGCTGGGACTGCAGGCATCCGCCACAAGACCCAGCTATTTTTTGGTTGCAACCGTCATTGTTGTTTGGCAGGCCCAGGCTGCATTTGAGCCCACCACCTTAGGTGTATGTGGCTCGTACCTTAGCCACTTTAGCCACAGGCGCCGAGCCCAGGCAAGAGTTATTCTGAGGGAATAGAACTATACTGGATTTATTGAAGAAAATCTGGAAAGGGTTGGCTGAGGGTTTTGGAAAGGAAGGAAAAGGTTATTTGTAATATGTAATTTCTGTATTTGTAGACACTATTGGAGAGTTTGTAAGACTTATTATGTTCTTTTTTTTTTCTTTTTGAGACAGTCTCTCATGCTGTTGTCTTGGGTAGTGTGCTGTGGCATCACAGCTCACAGCAACCTCAAACTTTTGAGCTTAAGCGATTCTCTTGCCTCAGCCTCCCAGTAGCTGGGACTACAGGTGCCCACCACAATGCCCAGGTATTTTTTGGTTGTAGTTGTCAGTGTTGCTTAGCAGGCCTGAGCCTGGTTCGAACCCACCACCCTAGGTGTATGTAGCCGGCGCTCTGCTGACTAAGCTATGAGTACCGCCATTATGTTGGTTTTCTTTTTGTGGATTTTGGCTGGGGCAGGTTTGAATCCGCCAGCTCCAGTATATGGGGCTGGTGCCCTACTCCTTGAGCCACAGGTGCCCCCCTATGTTCATTTTCTTTCTTTCTTTCTTTTTTTTTGAGACAGAGCCTCAAGCAGTCCCCCTGGGTAGAGTGCTGTGACCTCACAGCTCACAGCAATCTCCAACTCCTGGGTTCAAGCGAGTCTCCTGCCTCCGCCTCCCAAGTTGCTGGGACCACAGATGTCCACCACAATGCCTGACTATTTTTTGGTTGCAGCCATCATTGTTGTTTGGCGGGCCCTGGCTGGATTCGAACC